AAATGCACCTTCCAATGAGCAATCCTTTGCCATTGTGCTTCTGTATTCTGCTGCTACATAAAGACGGTTGCGAACCTTGGCTGCTACAAGGTAGTGGTCCGAAACGATATTCGCTCCACGGATCGATCGAACGTCTAATACACTGGATGAATGCCTTCCGTCTATCACAACATGATCAATTTGATTTCTCGTTACTTGATCAGGAGAAATCCAGGTGGCCTTGTGTATATCGAGATGCTTGAATCTAGTGCTCCTAACTAACATGTTTCTTGCTGCCGCGAAGTCAATCAACATGCCGTTGTCGGATGTTTCTTCAGGGAGGCTGAATTTTCCGACTGTGGGACCAAAAATATTTTCCCTTCCGAGTTTTGCATTAAAATCTCCTAGCAAAATTTTAATTTTATGTCCAGGGCAGCCGTCATATGCTGTTTCTAGGCGCTCGTTAAATATGTCTTTGGTCTGGTCTTGGCAGACCAAAGACGCAAATAAGACTGATGTAGAATAACTTCGCTTTTATACGGATTATAGCAATTCGCTCATCTGCTGGAGTGAATCAGGAGACGAGGACTTTTATTCTCCTAGTAATCATAAATCCGCCAACAAAATGATGTCTCGTTTCATGGCAGCTTTAATACAGTGCTGTCCCAGTGCGCCTGTCCCTTTCCATCGCATCTCCTGTAGGTCTTTGTACTTCTTGAGTATATTCGCCAAAGCGAAAATTGCGTCTGTTCCAAGTGCAGATTCGTAGATCGTGGTCCTTTATACGTTTGCTGGGGGTCGTCAACATTAGATGGGTTTGGTTTTCTTTTTTATTGTTTTTCCATAGTAGGAGGGGTTTTCCGAGTGTGGGAAACTAACCAAACGCCCCAACACACTATTTCAACGGTTGATGAAAGGCCTTCGCCATGTTAAAGGCAATCGCCATGTTAAAGGCAATCAATCACCTATTTCAATTAAAACTATATAAATGTTTTATGTTTTTAGAAGACGTTTATTTCAATTAAAATGTATTATCATTATTTTTTGTCATGTATATTCTATGATCAGCTTAAGTTTAATAGTTAAATGTTACGATTTGAAAATTAATGATATTGTTTAATGTATTTTATTGTTTAGAGCAATAGTTGTATTTGTTTATTTTTTATTTAAAAGTTGAAATTTTTATAAATAATTTGGCATTTTTTTCTTTTTTATCTGAACTCTCAGCTAAAACTACAAATACTTTTTCGTTTTTGTTATAAATGTGCAAACAATTTAATATTATATTTTTTTGTTACCAAAACAGTTTAATAAATTTTGTAAATATATATTTTTAATGCCAAAAAATATTTTTGTTTTAGAATTTTGTATGTTTTTTCTGCACATTGGAATGAATATACATTAAGTTTAAATATAAGTTTTTTTTATTTTTCATTATTAATTACTTTTGTTAAATATTCATTTTATATAAAAAATTCGAATATTCTTTTTAAAATAATTATTTTTTTAATCAGTACATTGACTTGTGTAAACTCATGTATTTTTTTTTCTTAATTACGTAAACCACAAAGTTTGATTGTGCGAAAATATGAACGAATAGCTCCGAACACAAATGAAAATCTGCAGTTTTCGACTATTCTGTTGTTAAACAGTTAAAGAATATCACTACTGACCTATTAAAATGGTAACGGCAACAAAACTTAATTATTACTCGGGAATTCGTTTATAATTTAATACTATTCGATAAATAGATATACAATTCTGTGCCGACTCCTGGCCCTTCGATGAGAAGTCTTATAAACATCTCGGTTAACATCGATTCAAAGAATCAATAATTATCATATATCTTTGAAGAGAATACTGATAAATATTTCGATCCGCACCGATGCCATAGAGCCGCCGTTCGTCATTACTGGTAAAAGAGATAAACCTTTACATTCGCATTGGATCTTTGCTTAAAAAAAGTATTATATGTAGCTGTCATATACCGTCATTAATTCCAAAAGACATCTGTAGGAACTATGCTACATAGTATGAGGATAGGAAGTGTGCCTTAAACATTCGATGCAAGCAAAAACGTGCGGGATCTTTATATAGGAGATATAAGAACTACGTGAACTTAGGCAAATTATGCTTTTTCAAACCCCCACGAGGAACACTATTATGCAGTCTGAAATAATATATAATGGGCCGGACCATATCCAATACAAATTTCAAAAATTTATAATGACGATATTTCCTGATTCATAGGCCACTACGGGAATTTGGGGACAACAAATATTATGTATATGGGTACATATCCAATCAAAGAGCTGTGATAAATCATTGTAGAAAATTAGAAATCCGCAGCGGATAAAAAAGGCTCGGTATAAATATATCGCGCCGCGCCCATTCAAAAACTTTCCAGTCATAAATATTCACAAAGCCGTTTCTAATAATTGTGCGTCGATGTAAGTGATAAACATGTATCGAAACAAAGAATGGCAATGAGCAATAAAGGTTATCTCTATGTAGAACTTCGTAAGTATATCGTAGGTCAGTTTATAAACTCTTCCAATAGCGCAAAAACGGATCTTTGGAATTTTTTTCAAGCGAATTGACTGTAATTTTATATTTTGAATTCTCATTAAGTAGAAAACCTTCTTATTAAGAATGATCAATATTGGGCCGAAGTTTCGAGTTAGCCCTCAATATAACTACATCTCCCCTTAATTAAGTATTTTGGTGGATTTTAGTATCCTACACAACTATCTTGTAAATGTATAATAGCTTTGTATGGTCCAAGAGTTTTTAGCAGTGCTAAATATTGGACCTAGACCCATCTTTTACTTTACCGATCGTCATATCTGTACTAGCTCTAGACATGTCCGTCCGTCTGACCATTATAATTTGTTAACACTCAACACGCCCCATTTATAGATCAATCGTACATTTTTTGGACCAAAGAAGATAATAATAAAGTCGGAATAGATCCGCAGATGAGCGATATTTGCTCTTCAATGAAAAACTAAAGTTATCATTGAGTAGACAATCTCTCTGCCCAAAAATGATTAATATTAGTCCACGTTTTGAGCTAGGCCCCATATAATAGTACCACCCATACATGCTTTTATATCCTCCACCATAGTATGGAGGGTATATTGTCATTCCGTTTGTAGCTCATCGAAATATTCATTTCCGACCCTATAAAGTATATATATTCTTGCTCAGGGTAAAATTCTAAGACGATCTAGCAATGTTCGTCCGTCTCTCTATCCGTCCGTTTGTTGTAATCACGCTATCTTCTGAAGGAATTGAGATAGATCGCCACAATTTTGCATAGGGTCGTCTTTTGTCAGCAGGCAGGTCAAGTTCAAAGATGGGCTATATCGGTCCACGTTTAGGCACCCACCAATTTTCGACATTTTGGGGTTCTTGTGCGCGCTTTTCAACCGAATTCGATGACATTTAGTACATTGAGTTATTTTTGGTTACAAATGCCTCCACTAAAAATTATAAATATCGGTCCACTTTTTTGGGTAGCTCCCATATAACGGTACCCCCAATTTACGGTATTTTGGGGGGTTTAGGCGAAGATGGGCTATATCGGTCCACGTTTAGACATAGCTCCATATAAGGGCACCACCCAATTTTCGGATTTTTGGGGTTCTTGTGCGCGTTTTTAAAGCGAATTCGCAAAAAAATAATGGTACAATGTGTTCTTATTGGGTACCAAATTTTTCCACTAAAAATTATAAATATAGGTCCATATTTCCGAGCACTCCCAATATTCTTGAGCGCGTTTTTCAATCGAATTCGCTGAAATTTGATACATTGGGTTCTTTTTGGGTACAATATGTCTCCAATACAAATTATAAATATCGGTCTACTTCTTCTGGTAGCCACAAATATAACGGCACCCTCCAAATTACGGAATTTTGGGGGTATTTCTAAGCGCGGGTTCTTATTGGGTAGCAAATATCCTCACTAAAAATTATTAATCTAGGCCCATTTTTTCGGGTAGCCCCCATATAAGACACCATAAATTTTCGGTATTTTAGGGTTGTTGGGCGAATTCTCTGTAATTTGGTATATTGTAGTTGCATATGGTAACCAATCTTCCTACCAAAAATTATTAATATTCGCCCCTTTTAGAGTTAGTTCCCATATAACCCCTTACTTATATTAAAATAGTGAGCTGATTAGTTCCGTGTGTAGGGGTTGTCCCCAAACAGGCGTATTCTAGTCAGTTTTACCCTACAAATTATAGAATTCTAAGACGATTTACCCATCGGTTGTAATCATTCCGCTTTCTAAGGAAATCTTGATAACAAACTCGAACCTGACGATAATGAAACATATAGACAAGCATTTAGGCATCTCTCCCATATAATTATACCTCCTGAAGGAAAGAATTGAGACACAAAAGAAAAATATTGGGTTCGAAATTGACATATGTCGGTCTGGTGTACATAATGGTTTAAATAAACCGGTTTGTAGAATTATCGGTATAGGTCCACTTTTTGGTATGTTCCCTATATTTTCATTTCAAGTTCATTTCATTTCAAAGTTCAGCCCGGCTGAACTTACCGCTTTTTCACTTGTTTTGGCTCTAATTTCGAGTTCTCATTGGCTAGCAAATATTCCTACCAAAAATGATCAATCTCGGTCAACGTTTAGTTTAAGCTCTCATATAACGGCACCTCCAATTTTCGGTACTTTGAATATTTCAGACACGTTAACAGTCATGGTGACCATGACAAAAAGAACTTCGGATTTCATCAGAAGAGTAGAATGGGATCAGTCTCCAATCAATATATTGGGGAGATCTACAATGTTTTAAGGTTTACAAAGCTCTCACGTTTTCTCTACAATCTCTAACGATGTGTTTACATTTCTTATTTAATTCTATATTCATTTTTTTTTCGTTGATTTCTTCTTTAAAAATTATTTTGATTAAATCACTCTTTTTCTTGTTTGGGACACATTTTATAAAAAAAAAACTCTAGCAACTCTTATTTTACCTTCACACATCTACTCCCTTAATCATCATCGCCTTCATCATCTTCCTCAATATCCTCTTCAGGATCATCGTCATCATCTTCCTCTAAATCACCCTCATCTTCCTCTTCATCATTTTCCTCCTCAACCTCTTCCTCATCGTCGTCATCATCATCGGTGGCCTCAGCCCCACCCTTCTTACGTTTTTGCAGCAGTTTCATTTTTAAATTCTTTTTCTTGACGTTTTCCTTATTTTCACTGGCTTTTTCACTTTTTTCCAGCTCCGATTCACTAATATCATCATCACTTAATTCGCCATCATCCTCCTCTTCGTCGGCTGCCAGTTTGGCTTGTTCTCGTTTCTTTTTGCCTGCTTCGAGAAGGATTTTCTTTAAATCAGAAGTATTGGAGATTTTTACACGGCGATTACTTGAATCCAGGGATTTGACATTGATCTCATAGAAGTCGGTTATGCGTTTGTCATCGAAACTGGAATACTAAAAAACAAAATTAATTTATTTTCTCATTTCATTCTACATTTAATCCGACTCACTTACCACCGAACTCGAAGTAAACAAAAACTCATCCGGTGTTGTCTTGACCCGAATATATTTTTGCAATAGATTATTACCATCCTTGCGCCACAAACACAACCGATTATTTTTACCATAATCCCCAACTAGATCCTTTACATAGACCAATAATTTAATGGAATCTTCCTCGCTGCTATTGCCCGTACCATTACCCGATAACGAAGAACTGTTGTTCTTTTCGGAAAATTGTTTTTTGGGCGGTAAACTTGTGGCTGGTTTTGTTTTAGTTGTTGTAGCATTTGTTGTTGTTGCTGCTGCTGCCGCTGGTCCTAAATCATCATAGTCGTATTCTTCATCACTGATATCTTCGTCGTCCTCCTCGTCATCATCATCACTTTCGGCATAGGTGGCAGTTTTACGTTTGCTTGCTCCTTTGGCATTTGCCCCAGCTCCCGCCGGACCACCTTTACGTTTCCGCCCTTTTTTCGAACCACCACCTGTCGACTTTTGTTGTTTTTGTTTCTTGCCATTTTTATTGGAGGCCGACGGACGCCAATCCTCCTCCGAATCGTCATCATCGCTGTAATCTTCTTCGGAATCGACAAAAGTGGTGGTGACCATTTCGGTACGACTGCGCATTTTATCGGACTGAAAGGAGACAAGGTTAGAAATTGTTTATTAAAATACAGAGATTTTGGAATACAATTTAATTGAGTAAATTATGCCAAATTTCGTGCAAATCAAAGATATATAGGGGCTTTTCGGTCGAAAATATATATACGGGAGCTATATAAATCTGAACCGATTTTCAGGAAACATAACACATATCATTCTAGGCTCAATTTATGACGTTTCGTGTATTTACATTAAATCGGCAGAAAATATATATGGGAGCTATATCTAAATCTGAACCGATTTTCACGAAACTTAACACTCACCATTCTAGACTCTATTCAGTGCCAAATTTCGTGCAAATCGAAAGATATATGAAACTTCGATGCACCATTTATACAGTGGTGGTCACGTAATTAAAACATATTCTGTGTTAAACATTTTTGATCACCCCTCGATTCGTTGGAATTATTTTAATTTTTTTAAGCAGAACACTTAGATATACTGTACTTAAGAGATAAAGTGTGAAAATAGAAAATTATTGCATGCAATTTTTCTATAAAACACATCGACTTTGAAGTGGTCACATAATTAAAACATTGTGGGATTTTTTACTTTACCGCATGTTTTGAAAATATTAAAAAAAACAGGTATTATTTGTGAAATTAAGTAAACTAAGTACCAAAAAATCATTAACAAATAAAAAATTTAAAAAAATCTGTAAAATATATCAAAATTGACAACAATTTGTAAAGTACACCCAACATTCGGAAAATCACCCTTTATATAGAAAATATAGGTCCGAATGTACCAGAAATTGCTAGATTTAGTAAAAAACAATAAATAATTCTCAAAATATATATGGGAAATTACAAAAATCTTTTAAATTCCTTGAAACTGAGGCTTGCATGGTTATAACTCGCGAAATATGAACATATTGCATATAATTTTAATTTTAATATAGTTAATAAATAATAAGTAGACCTCGGATTTTGCATATTTGCATATTTTTTAATAATGAAGATATCGAAATTCTAATTTTTTAATTTTTTGCATATTTGCATATAATGCATATGCACGAGATATGCAAAAATATCCAAATTTGCAAAAATATGCACGGTATGCTAGGTCCATATGGTATGCTAGGTCGATATGCGATAAATATGCACAATATATGCAAAAATATGCAAAATATGCAAAAATATGCAAACAATATGCAAAATTTGCAAAAATATGCAAAAATATGCAGAATATGCGAAAATATGCAAAATATAGGCAAAAATATGCAAAATATAGGTAAAAATATTCAAAATATGCAAAAATATGCAAACTATGCAAAAATATGCAAAATATGCAAAAAATATGCACGGTATGCTAGGTCGATATGCAATAAATATTCAAAATATATGCATAAAATATGTCAAATATAGACAAAATATGCAAAAATATAGGCTAAAATATGCAAAATATGAGAAACATATTTCACATATGCAATCATTTTAATCCAAAAAAAAACAGATTTTTCTTGGTAATTTTTTTAATTTCTATAAAATAAACCTCGAATTTGTGTGCTTTCTTTATTTTTAAGCTATAGAAATCAAATTTTGTATGTATGCGTTTCATGGTTCAACTGTTAGATATTTGGGGCATTATGAAACATTTGCTAAATATATGTATAAAACATGCAAACATATATGAACCGCGGACCGATATATCCCATTTCCAATACAAAACATCCTAGGAGTAATAATATATGTGTAAAATTTCAAAGTTATTTCTTTAATATTGCGACCTAGCATACCGTGCATATTTTCGCCTATATTTTGCATATTTTTGCAAATTTTGCATATTTTTGCATATTTTGGATATTTTTGTATATTTTTGCATATTTTGCATATTTTGCATATTTTTGCACATTTTTGCATATTTTTGCATATTTTTGCATATTCTGCATATTTTAGCATATTTTACATATTTTTCCATATTTTTCCATATTTTTCCATATTTTTGCATTTTTTACATATTTGGCATATTTTTTGCATATTTTGCAGATTTTGTATATTTTTGCATATTTTTTTGGATATTTTTCCCTATATTTTGCATATTTATCGCAAATCGACCTAGCATACCGTGCATATTTTCTGCATATTTTTTGCATATATTTTGCATATTTTTAACGTGACTCCAAATATCGATCAATTGGAGCATGAAACGCCTAAATACAAAATTTGAGTCCAATCGGCATAAAGCATAAAAAATATGCAAAAATCCGAGGTCTAATAATAAGTTGGGAGGAAGCTGTGATACTGGTAATGTAAAAAATGGGTGAAAATGCGTTGAAGCCAACGAGTTTTTTTGTGTTCCTTCCTGATTTGTGGCTAAATTACACAACGCACGCATATGTGATCAGTGACTAAGTTGCAGAATACCCCATGGACAACATGGTTCTAATGCATGATTTTTCGATATCACTGAATCCACCCGAAATGGAAGCTGACATTTTGAAGTCGGATTTCCGGTGTTTTTTGATTTTTTCTTATAATTAGGATGCGCATCCAGATAACGGACTAAACTAATTATAGGATTGTAGAACTCGTTATTTTGCTTCGTTTAGTGTATATCTCATGATTGTGCTCGCCGTAGCTTCTTTGCAATTGGGCTCCAAAGACGAAAATTTGGTGCGTAAATTTGTATAAAAAACATATTTCTTGAGTCTAAAATTAAGAAATTCCATTCAAATTCCGTGGAACCTCGCGTGATTTTAGTTTTTTACGTGCCGGATCTAATGAGTCCATCCATGTGCAATTCCGCCCAATAAAACGGCGGATATATTTACCTTGAATGTGGAAAAACAGCAAAAACTTATTTTGACAAATTCGCGTATATAATCGCGTTTTTCTTCGAATTGATTTCGCATTCTTGTATTATCATATTCGCGAATCTGTGTGGAAATAGGTCAAAAATATATCGATACGCGAATAATATGCGTATTTTATCCAAAATCGATTGGGAGGCACAACCGCGGTTCTTAACCGATCCTTTTAAAATATGTGTCCTTTTGTGTATTTTCATAGGAGATTACTGAAATCGGATGCGCATAAAAATCGTATGCACTTTGCGTAATTTTTAGCCATTTTTAAGGTTTTTGCATAGTAAAGTGCATCGAGCGGCACACTTTATCCGCTAAATGAAAAATCGAAAAATTCATAATTATTGGAAGAGATTGATTCGGTTTATACGAAAACCGCATGAGCAACAACTGATTTCCGCGAATACGCCAATTGCATGCTTTTCAATATTGACCATTTTTATGTATTGAAAGTGCAATATATTAAGTCAGTTTTAAAGTCGAAATTCTTATCAGACGAATCTACCGATATTTAACAATCATCTAAAAGAATTTGAAGAAGAAAGCGTGGTATATATTGTAGAAGATTTGGACAAAACCGTATTCCCTTAACCATGGTAAAAATCGAAAAATAAAAAAAAGTTTTGTTTAAATAAAAAATTAATTTATTTTATTTTCAGTTGTCTTCATTTTTTTATTTGTCTTTCCGGATTATTAAACCATTTATCAATGCTATGTAAGATATATACAAAGAAAACAAATGTGTTTATCCGTTTGTGAAGAAATTCGCGATGTAAACAAATAGGAATTAATTTAATTTATATTTGAAGTACAAGGTTTAAAACCGCTATAACTTTTGTGCGCATCATCCGAATTTGTGAACGCGAGCAGATTTCGAATCAGCATATTTTTCGTAACCTATGTACCAAAAGTCATAAATGTGCTCGCAAATAAATTTTTTAAAATTTTTTTAATGGAATTTTAAAAGAAATTTGTAATTTGTAATATATATAAATTACGTGTATGTTCGTGATCGCTAAACTCAAGAACTACTGCACCGATTCTGACCAAATTGTATGTATATGCTCTATGGGGCGTGAGGAGTGTTTCTGTTTAATTTTAAGTTTGTCCGACAGATGGCGCGATATATATCCTCTTTGTGTTTTCCCCGATTGGAGATTGGGTGCTTAATCGGCGTGTGTCGAGGTTAAGTATTCCGACACCGACTCATACATTTTTTCTGAAAAATAAAACGTGGGAATCAAACGAAAAATAGAGTAACTTATCAAATTGATGTAAACTTAATTTAAATCTATTAAAAAAAAACTATGTAAAAATGTGTAGTAACTCATCAATTGAGAACGGCAGGACCGATTTGACTCAAAATTCTTTTCAGTTGTCTGTAATTGAAGTGGGAAGATTTTTATGAACGAAAATTTTGAGAAAAATCCGCGAAAGTCGTGAAGAAAAACATATTTTGAAGCAACGGCTGGACGATTTGTCTACCATTATGTGGGACATATCCCATAAAGTGATACTATACCGATAATTTATGGAAAAATGTCCTTACCCTACATTAAATAGCGAATTGAAAGAAATTTATAGGGTATTTGTTTTTTACTTTCAGTGTACCTAAAATCGTACTATTAAAATATGAACCAAAGATGGAGAGCCAATTTTGTTACGTCATAAAACCAAGACATAGCATATATCCCACAATATATCTGAATCATCGGCTGAAACTTGAACGTATTCCAAATAGACAGCAAAATCTGTGATATTTGTGAAAAGATGTCACGTTGTTATGTTTAGGATATACCAAAATGTCCATCAAAAATGTTGACCGTAGTAAATGTTTTAATTACGTGACCACCACTGTATATTGCAGCTATATCTAAATCTGAACCGATTTTTCCAATTTCAAATTTCTTTTTTCCTGTGTCAAATTTCATTCAATTCGGATCATAAATGGGACATGTACTTTTTTTACAACTTAACACGGGAAGACATATTCTCAAAAGAAACCATATGTCTATCTCGTTTTGCCTATTACAAACATGTGCATCTCGTTTTGCCGGTTACAAACATGTGCACAAATAAGACCCTGTACTACAGTTTAGTGAAGGGTATAAAAATAGCTGAAGTTCTCGTCATGTAGCCCGTTGGTCGCCATTAAATTTTTAACAATCTAGAATAACATATTTACCGCAAATCTGTTCAAAATTGTAATTTTCCCACATTGGAAGCCATTGTTCTGTAAAAAGGGACATTATTTCTAATTCTGAATCTATGTTGTATTTTTATACCGCATTTTTCGTTTGGCAATTATTGCTAAAAATTTTAAAATGTCATATAAATACTTCGTCTTAGAAACTTCGGAAACTTGGTTATAATATTATAACTGAACATGTCTTATATTGGGCGCCACAATACTTTTGACTTCATGAAAGGAAAATATGTCCGACAAGGGGATTTGTTCGGGTCTTAAAATATATTAAATGTTAGAAACTTCCTGAATGGGACAATATCACTTATTATCTCGCACTTTGGACGCCATTATTTTTATACACTACATATAAGGTGGATTGTATATTAAATTAGTCATACCGTTTGCAAGACCTCGAAAGATTCGTTTGGTGATCCCATAAAATGTTCATGATCAGAATAAAATTCTATGTCGATGTATGCATGTCTGTCCGTCTGTCGAAATTAGGATCGATCTGTCCATGTATAGCTTCCATATAGCGGTACCGCGTTTTTTTTCCAACGAAAGGGCTGTAATTTGGCTTATTAGTATTTCTTTTGGCAGCTGATATACATCTATGCAGAAAATGATCTCTATATGTCGCTGTTTTGGAATATCTCTCATATAATGGTCACACACAATATAAAGTATTTTCGAAGGTTTGAGACGCGTTTTACAACCGAAAGGGCTGTAAATTGCTATATTAGGTTTTTTGGAGCCATATATAATACAGTTCCTAGTGGGTGACAAACTTTATATCTAAAGCGTTGTTCATAAGTGTGTCAAATTGCACATAACTACTCTAAAACTTCTCGAATGAAATAAAATATAGCATATGTGGCAGATGTATTGATCTTAGTCGGTTCACATATAGATAAAAATCACATATTTAAATTTGTCCAATTTCATGTCAATGTTCTTTCAAATATGCAACGCCTGTCAGGATACATATGTTAAATATGTCAAAAGAGGTGAAGGGTATCAGGGTATTCTGCTCCGTCCGACTTTACTCTCCTTGCTGGTTTTTGTTGTGAAGATTTGAGAACTCCAAAAATCAAATGACCGCAAATTAAGCTGAAAACCAGTGGGCCGACCATACGATACCCTACACAACTACCACGGAACTTTAACTTTCTGCGGACATTTATTCCGAACCAGGGCAATATTTCGTGATATTTACACCCTCTTGCCCGATAAGAGTTGAAACGGGACCTCTTCCTTACACTGACAAATTTTCCAAATTTTACTAATATTCAGTAAAACCCTTCTAATTACATGTCCAGATTCCCACGGTGTGTTGTGATGTTCAGTTTATAATTGTGGCCTATAGATCGATTCGAAGAAACGGACGGACGGACAGATGGACACACATGTTTAGATCGACTCAGCTAGTCGGGGTATGGTATCGGATCGGATATCGGTATACTTAAAGTTGGCTTTAGGACCAATACTTCGCGGCGTTACAGACTCTTGTGGCTACACAAAGCAACATACCCTGACAACATAGTTGTGTAGGGTGTAAAAATGTGTCCAAAATACCTACAATTTGGCGGTTACTTTATATGGGGGATATGTGGAAACGTCGACAATTCTATGCAACATTTCAGCACTATATTAAGTTCTTCGGATGATGGGGTGATTACGACAAACATCGCAACAAATTCTGGAATATATTGTTCCTAGATCAACATTTTATTATAAATATTCATGTATTATTACAGATATCAAGGATTATTTATAATTAAATATTTCCTTAAGAGTAAAACAAATCTAATGGGTTCCACATATTTCCGCCTTGATTAAGAACTTTTTTCTATTCACACATGCATTACAAATAGCAAAGATGTCAATGTTTCATATACTTGGGAACAAAATTGAGTTTTTCTTCGATAGCACTACAAAATACAAGAATCACACACACTTCCGTCTTGCTTAACTACATCTCTATATTAACTACCAAAGTATCCATTTCTGAATATGTATTCACTGAATATTTTTCATCCAAAACCATGTACATATTTAAATGAAATTACTTTATTTTGTAATTTTATAAACTTTTGAATGTTTTCACTAAAAATCTCCAATTGCCTACTACCTTTAATGTTGAGAATTTTTTTTTGATTCTTACTTTTTCCAGTTTGTTGCTGTTGCTTATTTTTTTTGGTTCTGCAAAATTTATTTTGATTTTTTTCTATCTCGTCGACAAATTTCACTTTTTTCTCTTCACTTTTTCTTTCGTACAACCTCCACGAATTAGTGTTTGATGAAATAAATTTTCTTAGATTTATTCTTAATTTTTTTTATTTGGTTTACTTATTTTCACTTCGTCTCTCTCTTGTTGTGAAGAAGTTCTGGCTCGTCAGTTTTGTATCCCGTGAATTTGATATCTGTCTAACGGGTTTGGTGCAATCGTCCTGCTGTTGATTTCTTTTTTATTACAACGATATGTGTTGGTGTGCGCGTGTGTTTGTGCGGGGTGCGTTCGGCTTGTATGTGTCCTATTTGTTGTGGTACCGCCGATTGTTTTTTCTGCACTGACATCCTCCCATCAATATGCTGCTTTAACTCCGTTTTTCAATTTATGTACAGAATCGGACTGGCACACACACACACACACTCACACTACCACCTAGAATGTACTTGACATTTCGTTTTCCTTCTTTATTCACTTTATCTTTTGGTTGGCTGGGAGGCAGAATGCAGCAAAAGCGAGTGTATACTCATTCCCTTGTTCCCTTACAAATCCAAAATCATTGTAGCCGAAAATTTGTTTTGCAAAACCCGGGTTCCCTTCTCTTCTCAACGCATGGCGTTGTAGATTTTCTTCACCCATCCCCTTTGTCCCCAAGTAATTCTGGTTGCATACCATCACTATTTTGCTGAGGTACGTACTCTTCTGTGTCTGTATCCCATTTTTTGGATTTGAGTTCTATGTTGTTGTTTTTTGTTTCCTTATTTGTCTGCCATTTGATATGTCCTGTTGTTGGCTGGCTGGGCTGACTGGATGCTTTTGCCTGTCTGGCCATTTGTGGGGGATGATGCGTAAACATTACCGGAGAAAAGGCGCAAAGCAATGTCCTCCCAAATAGTGTGGCTGGGTTGTGTTTCTTCCGTGGTTTGTTTACAATTTTCTAGTTGATGTTTTTCCTGCTTTCCTTGCTTCTTCTTCTTCTTTTGTGCGGCATCCTTTTGCAAATTCTTAGACCGGCTTTTGCAGCACTTTTCCAGCATGTGAGGGTATTTGCCGTATTCCATTTGTGGCTGGTTTTGAAGTAGACTTTTCAACTTAAAAGCTTAGTGGAGACACAAAAATGTAAGTTTAAAATTGGTGTTGCCATATCGGTTATAATGTTTGATTGTAGTCTTCACGTTATTAAACTTGTGGAGACATTGAAAAAAGCTTTTTTATGGTAAAACTTTCCTATTTAATCTAAAAATCTTAACGGAAATTCAGTGTTCAAATGCTAAGATGTATAAATGGGAGACATTATTTGTAAATAAAAAATATGTAAGATACCCAGTATCATTTAAAAAAGGGCTATCTAAATACCAATTTGCAGTCACTCAGTTTGGAATATTGTAGAATCATGGACATATATTGAAAATTTTTACCCAAAAAGGAATCGAGTTAGTAGGACAAAATGTTCTACATATTTTGCATATATTGAACATTTTTCATTCAGGATTTACAAAATGTTCTACAAAAAAATCAAATTCGACTATACAGCTCCTCTCACTGGTTTTGGTATTGTTCTGACAACTCCAAAATATGGTTATTTTTGGTTGTTTGCAGTAATTAGATATTTTAGATTCTAATTAGGTGGAAACACTTCTTAAAAAAAAACAGTGAGCGGAGCAGTATAGTCGGACGGGGCCGACCATATGATACCCTACACAACTACCACGAAAATCACACCTTGACCATAATCGGAAATTCATGTACAATTTCAAAGCGATCAGCTTTACCTAATTACATATAACTCCCACATCAGAGTAGATACAGTCATATAATTGGTATCAATTTGAAGGTCAACAACTCCTCTTGGATATATTATCAACTTGTCGGGTATATGTCCTTCAGGAGCAAGTATATACACCCCAGAAAAAAAATTTGTAATTTTTCGCGCAAAAGTCAGAGTCCATTTGACCCGCTAAATATTGACCGATCTTTATCAAAACAGGCATGCTTATTCTTAATTCTCCATGTAAAATTTCACGATGTTCGGACCATAACTGCGGCCTCTGGAGCGACCAGAAAAGCCGGCTAAATATTAACCGATCTTTACGAAAAACATTGGACCGAATACAACCTACATGCAAAATTTTGTGAAGATTGGTCCATAACTGTGGCCTGTATCGTGTTTACAAATTATAATGGACAGACGGACGGACACACATGTCTAGATTGACTCAGCTAGTCGAGATATGACGATCGGTATACTTAAAGGTGGGTCAAGGACCAATATTTCGCGGCGTTACAAACTTTTCGGGCTGCACAAAGCTATAATACCCTGACAACATAGTTGTGTAGGGTATAAACCAAATTACAATATCGGTCCACTTTTAGGTTCATTTGCATATATAGGTACCCCTCGTTTTCGGAATTTTGGAGAGTTTGGGTAACATATGATCCACTTAAAAAAAATAAATAATAATAATATCGATCCATGGTTATAGACCTCCCCCAGCCCTTAGGACTATCAATGGTGCTATGATGGTCCTAAGGGGTGAAATAGATTTATTTAAGCATTATGAGTGACAGTAAGTGATCGGGACCTTGGTAACTTAACAACCTCTCCACAGGACATTTGGGTACATTTTTCAATTAATTGGTTTTAATTTATATTCATAACCTCAGTCTTATGGCTATACATTTTGGTACCACAAAAATGTGCCTCATCGAAATATTGTTTTAACACCTCATGTTTCTTTAAACCAAATCCGTTTCAGCAAATTGAAGTCAATTTACGCATGCCCGTCCTTCCGTCTGGGCGGCTGGTACTCATGATAACTCTCGGGGGGAGTAACCGATTCTTTCAAATCGTGTCCGAAAAAGGGACCCATTGGTCCAATCCTTCAGTTATGTCCTCCACAAATGGTAATTTTTTTTAATTTTTATAAATCTAATATCAGAATGGAATGTCTGATTTGAACCAAATTCTTTATAATGTACTAGCCGGACCCGTGGCGCTTCGCTGCCCCTACCAAAGTGATTAACATAGAATAGTAGAAAATTATTTGTATTTAGTTTAAATGCTACTATTTATTAATAGGATTGATTGATATAGGTATTATAGTAGCCCCAATTACTGTTCGACTACATATATTTCGAAGTGTAATGTATCAGTACTAATACTGTAGCAGCTGGTTAATGTATACGTTATTTGAAGCTTGATCTTGACTTGTCTCAATAGGATTATACACTAATATATTTTCTACAATATTCACATGTTTTGCATTAATCGTTCAAAGACCAATAAAATCCTTCATTCCCACTGCCACCTACCTTTATGTATGTACTCTCATCTGATTTCCCATTATGTGGTTGGGATCCCTAAATATTGTAATGTGAATTAGTCTTCTTCTTAACTCATGGTTGTATCATGTTCTTAACTGAAATAAATAGTTTTAGTAATATCAGTTTGATCAACTAAACTTGATTTCTCAAGTAATGTACACATTTTGTTTTCAGGTCAGCTATGATGATAACCCACCACAGATTTCAGATTATTATAAATTTAAATCCATCATCTGCATTTCGCTTCTGGATATCTCCCAAAGTATGCATCAGTACTTTTATTGAATTCATGTTCGTTTTCTCCAATGGTAGTAAAACTATTAAAATTAAAAAAAAAAACCTTCAAAAACTGAAATATATATATATATTTCTTTCAAAATGACAAAATGTAAAAATATAATGTCAAAAATTTTTCATTTTACACAAATTTTATTCCAATGTGTATGAATATGACAATGAAGAGATGGAAAGCTGGATAGAAAGAATTACTGAACTGGTGGCTATTATACTTACTGATAATAGGACAAAAAATTATGAGTCGAAAATTTCTGATTTTGACCATATTTTACTTCCTGGTCATTTAAGATTGGATGTGTACTTATCTGAGTATCATACATACTTTTATGAACATATTTATTCAAGATATTCAGATATGTATATGCATAGACAATTAACATTAGTTCTGAGGTATGATTTCGGTTGATGCTATAACTCTTCGTCATCGCGGAATTTTGAGAGTTTATTTTGCATATCTTACTTCCATGGAATGGCATGACTGACTGCGACAATTTCTGCAGAGTCTATTCAGCGATTTTTGTGTCTACATCCGAAAGTGTTTCTTTTTTCCATGTATAGATATATTAAATTCAATTGTGAGTAAATTCCGTCCATTGTATCACCCCAATTTTCATATGGATTTGTAATCAATTTACTCAAGCAAATTTTAAAGTGGGAATTTGTAATGCCCTTTAGGATATAAACATAGAATACCTATGTCATTTCAGATTTGTGATTACTATAACTCCGCCTATGATTTTTCTATCAGGTAGCATGAGGTGCTGTTAAATTCTCAGTAAAATCTGTTGGGCGGTTTTTGACTAATCACACAAACAATGTTATGCAAATTATTTAAGTACAACGGGGAGGACATTTTCCCCAATCGTACCAGGCTCATTTTTGTATGGATGATGTGTGTTTACACCTACGTTATTCAGACAAATTTTGAAGACGGTGTCTATTACCGTTATAAAGATATACGCATATTACATGTACTGAATTTGAGGTGTGTTCACTATTGATGCTATAACTCTGCATCCACGAGGAATTTTAGAAGTTTATATATCTTATGTAACTTTCAGGATACGCCATGACATACTGTGTAAATCTCATTAACACCTGTTCAGCGGTTTTTGCGTCTATTTGTAACATACATACAAACAAACAATTTTTTTTTATTTTATATAGTAATTGTAGAAAATTAATATATTTTGAGAATTTACATAATTAACAATTACTTAAAGATATACGCTGCCCATTTTCGCCCAAAATATGTCCAAAAGAACTATGAAGAGATGAAACCATAAAGATTCCATATAAAATGTGTGGAAATGCCAATATCTTTCAAAATATATTTTGCAAAATTTTCGGGGATTTTTCTCAAAATGTTCTTTTATTAAAACCAACCGTTTCTCTAAAATAATTTTTGCAAGATTTCCGCGGATTTTTCTTAAAAATTTCTGTCATAAAAACCTTCCCACTGCAATTACCGACAACTGAACGAAATTTTGAGTCAAATCGGTCCAGCCGTTCTCAATTGATGCGTTAGTATACATTTTTCTTGCTCCATTTTTATATTTGCCAAGCCTAGATCAAGCCCGAGTATGGGACTCATAGGTCCCCTCTTCTGGTATCTCACCTACAAATGGTCCACAGTTTCAATATATATAAATTAGATGTTTCGCAAAAGAATGCCCGATTTGAATCAAACGTTGCATAATCTAGTTCTAGATCAAGTAGGATGATGGGACCCATTGGTCCACTCCTTCTGGTACGTCCCCCATAAAGGGTCAACATTTTCAAATATTTATAAATCTAATATGTCTGATTTGAAGCAAATTTTGTATAATATATTATCTTTGTCAAGCCCAGATAAAGTCCGATGATGCAATCCATTGATCCACTTCTTCTGGAACATACCCCCGTGTTGGGTTTACCACTTGTAAATTTAATTTGAAGCTAATTGAAAAAAAAAAATGACAATAGCATTAACTCCGAACATTAAATCCGAAACTTCTTTGATAAAACCATGTACTTTATATATAACAAAACCTGTGTGTAATTCCACAAACCATAAACAAAGTTTATATATCTGTCGGCAGCACCGGCTTAATATTTTTTCAAAGGCTCTAATAGGCGTGTATTTTCTAGTAATATTTTTTCGAGACATTATCTAAGTCTTGGATTTTTTAATAATATTTGTTTTCAAGCTCAATCATTAATCTAAATCATCTTTTTTCATCCAAAATGCTTACCTTTAGTTCCAAATCTAGTTTCATGTAATAAATAAAATTCATTTGTTTTATTTGTTGTATATTTTGCGATTTCACTTTATTTGTTGACTTCATTATCAAATACATCAAATGCTCCAATTCTTTTACTTCACATTATCTTAATAATAATTACTAGTAGTATAATTATTATCAGTATATGATTATTACTAAAGAATACTAAGTGTTTGTTGTTTTTGTTGAACTACATATTTAGTTAATATATTTTGTTTATTTTTGTTTTAATTTTGTTAACCACTAAACCACAACATGTGTAAATGTCATTGTCATAGTAATAAAAAAATAAAAATCGAATATGAACATAACAGCTGACAATGGTGGTGGTGAAATGTGGAACACAACAAAAATAATAATAATAAAACAAAAAACAAAAATTACAATGTCTTCGAAAATAGTTTTCTTCGTTTAAAACTTAATTTTGATAAAAAAATAACGAAAATAAAGTAAACGTAATAATAATTTTTAATTGTATTTTTTAAAAATTAGGAAAACATGTGATAAAGGGAAGCTCTGGTTAGGGGTTATGTGGGGGAAAAATATAAAGAACTTAATTTTGGGGATTTTAAGTTTTTAATTTTTTGCATAATTTTTTTCGTTTTAAATTATTTAGTTGTATAATTTTTTTCAAGAATTTGTTTTAGTATTATTATTACTATTTAAAGTATAATATTTGGTGTTTCTTCATAATTTGTTTTCATTTATTTTTTTAATTACTAAATTATTGGTGTTATTAGTTTTTGTTAAGATTTAATTATAATTTTTATATTTCAAAGAAATTTTGGAGTATTTTATTAATTTTAAAGAATATTTCAGAAACTCAAAAAATTAGTTTAATTTTAAATCGAATTTTTTAAACAAGTATTTCATTTTTCTCTATTAATATTTTGTTAATATTATTTAAATTGTTTTCTAATTTTAAGAAAAGTAAAAATGTGATAATAATAATAAAAAATAAAATAATAATGCCTAGTTAGAATGTCTCCTATATTCAAGTTCACAGTTTCTTGTTGTTGTTTTGTTTACACTACTACATTTCGTTAGATAGATATAAAATATATTATCAATAATTTATGTGATGCTTAAAGTAGTAGTGATAGTATTATTAGTAATAAGGACCAGGGGCGTGTGCTACAGGCAAAATAAATTATATTTTTTACTTCTAAAGTGAGTATGGGCCAGACCGTGCGGCCTACTTTCAGTAAAAAATAAAGATTTTAGGTTGTGGAAAGAGTCACGTTCAAAATTGAGGTTATGACAAATCACCTTAACACCAAGATTGGTTTTGTACCAAATTCCGATTTTTAATATAAAACATCTTAGAAGTGGTGGCAATCTATGTGTAAAATTTCAAAGCTCCATCTTAACACGTTGACGGGCAGTAGAAACAACTGAAATTCGAAAACATGACACTAGTCTTCTATTTGTACGCTGTTAAATGCACATTTGTGCTGCTACAGCCGTCATGTCACATAGTGAACTTGAACTTGACGGCTATAGACGCAACTGTCCGTCAACATGTTAAATATTCCAAGCTCTTTTAATTCGGTCGGAAAAGAATATTTTAAGAGGTCATTGGGTGTTTGGTCATTGGTTTTTTTGGTGTCTCCGTAAAATAATAATAATAATAATAAAACGTAATTTTATGCAATTGGGAAACACTGGAAGCGTATGAGCCCCGAAAATCTGTATACGACCAAAAAAATTAGGGTTTTAAAATTGTTTGTTTATGTTGAGAATATTCCAACAACTATTTTTTGAGGACTTCCAATAAAATTAATCGGAATTTTATTCGGTTGGAAAATGGTGTATGAGTACCCTGTTTTTTTATTAATCCAAAACCAATAGAACAAAGTTTGTCCGAAAACTAATAATTAAATATTTTTTTAAGATATAGGGAATACTTATACATCAGCAAAACATATATATATATATATATATATATATTTAATTTGAAACAGATTTCTATTTTTTTTGTTTGCTGATTTTTAATTGATTTTTCCATTTGAGGAAATGACCAAGTATTTGTTATTTTTTTACATTCTTCTAAAGGCGAATATTCCTCTTGCCGATATTGCAAATTTATTTGTTTAGCATTTTAATTATAAATATTTTGTTACATGAATTTAGAAAAAGAGATCATAAAGACAACGATTTATGTTCAACTGATAAACTGTTTATTATTTAAGGATATTGGAGGTTAGGGAGAGCGTATAAGTACTGACAAATTTGTCATACTCAAGCTTATTATTTTATTTTTGTAAATTTATTTATTTGGCAAGAGGTTGTTAATGATGTTATTTTATTTAGTGATATTATAATTTTTTTATTTAAGTTTTTGTTTCTCATTTAAGAAAAATTCCTTAGAATCTGATAGTTTCCTACTTTAGGGGCGATGTATGAGAGCTGAAAATAATCATACACCAGCTTAGTACTCTTTTTTATGAGATTTTAATTTGAAGGTGTTTGCTAAGGATTTACAATTTTTTTAGTGATACCTTAGCCATGATATTTTAATAAAGCTAGTTGGTGCGTATGAGTACCGACATCACTTATACGCCAACACTATTTTAGCATTGCTTATTGGATTTTATAAAGTTTTTATTTGATTTAGTGGTGCTATTTGTTTGTTATAACCTACAATGTTTAATATAATTATTAACTGGAACTCCAAACACAAAATAAAGATCTATCCCACTTTAGAAGTAAATTAAACGAAAATAACATATAAGTTGTTTCTTATTTTGTTTGTGTAGCACAGTGCAGTATAAATATTATTTTTTTCAGTTTTTTTATAAATTTTGAATTCATTAGTGTAGTGTTTTTTTCTTCAATCAATTTTTCATATATCAAAAAGCAGCTTATTTACGTATATCGTTTATAGATGTATACTAAGAGTATAGTTATTAATTTTTTATATCAATATCAGCAGCATAAGTTTGTTATTAATTATTTTACGTTACATATTTTTTTAATTGTAAGTTAATTTTTTAAATTATTTACTTCAGTTTGTTGTTTTGTTTCGCATAATATTTTTCTAAACCTGTTTTATTCCCATTTTTTTAATTTAAATTTATTTAATGTTGCATTTTTTTAAACTTAAACAAATCATTGTTTCATTAAATTTTCAATTTTTCGATCTCTCTCCTTGCAGTCAGTACTCCGGTTGGTTGTTGCCAGTTTAGATCTTTAGGCGCTATACCCGTGTTGGTGTACCAAATATTGGATTAACATGATTGCGTCTGGTGGTCAACGGTGATGGATTATTGTTGACATTACGCCTTGGCGGCATCTGTTGGCAATCGGAATATGAACGATCTGTTGATGGAGAAGATATGGGGATTGGAATGGATCGAATGAGAAAAAATCAAAAAATATGAGAAATATTTTTCGTTTGTTAATTTTGTTCGCCATTTTTTAGTATTTGTTGTTGTAGAGTTGTTGTTTTTTGGTGTATTTGTTGTTGTTAAGTTTCATTCACATTTGGATTTCCATTTTTTTTTTTGTATTTCGTTTTGCGAATTAGTTATTTAACTGTGGCGGTGATTCATGCTTCTGCTATGCATTGTGGAATTGTTGTTGTTGTTGGTTTTTGTGGATTCAGGAGTAGTGTAAAGTGCAATGATGTTGGTTGGTTGGGTTTTTATTTTTTGGATAATGGGTGTGGTATTTTGACAGGGGTTTTTGTTTTGAGATTTATTGTTGATTTTTGATGTGCAGGCATGCGGTTAATTTGTTTCAAGAATTCAATCATAAAAATATAAAGAAAAAACGAAAAAAGAAAATATTTTTATTAGTTACAATTCGAAAGAGATTTCGAGAGAATTTTCTTGTTTTAAAACACAAACATAAAATATTTTAACAGATGTCCAGCTAAGAGGTCAATAACAAAATGGTCAAATAAAACTTAAAAATGTCATAAAATATCACAGAAAAATAATATTTGACATTTGGCGTATAAGTAACGACAGCAGTCATACGACAAGTGGTAGGGATTTGTGGATTTAATACAAATATTTTTTTTTTGAAGAATAAACAAGGCGTAAATTTTTTAAAAATATTTTTGGAGAATAAACATGGCGTAAATTTTTTAAAAATATATTTTTTGAAAAATAAACAATGCGTGGATTTTATAAAAATATTTTTTGAAGAAAACACAAGGTGTGGATTTTATAAAAATATTTTTTTGAAGAAAAGACAAGGTGTGGATTTTATAAAAAACTTTTTGAAGAAAACACAAGGTGTGGATTATTAAAAAATATTTTTTTAAGAAAACACAAGGTGTGGATTTAAGAAAGATAAGCATTTAAAAAGATATTAAATATTTAATGCTAGAGTGTTTTAAACATATTATTTAAAGATTTCCTGGTGCGTATTTGTGCTGACGTTAGTTATACGCCTTACAGTCCCCACATTCTGCTAATTCCATGCAATTTATTATTAAACGTCTTTAAAATATTAATAAAATATGCCTTTCAGGTCCAAAAATTCCTAGGTCCGTAATAATAAAAAGAACAGTATTTTCATGCAATTTCATTCCACCAGAACACACACACACACAAAACAAAAAATCTTTAACCATTAATCACCAAAAGTTGTTTTTCCAACCTACCTCTGAACTTCATACCCTGAGCCTCATTAATAATGGCCGCCAATGCTGGATGCTGATAACGTTCACGGAATATAGCCGACCCATTGGGCATATTACCATTCAATGTGCCATTATTATTCCCATTACCATTCATTTGAGGATGTAAATGTTGTGACATCTTTACGGGGGTATGTTGTGGGGTCAACGAAGTGACTGGCGATTGGTTACCATTCTTATAGTAACGATTTTGATTTGGATCATACATTTCCGTGTTTAAATTGGCACGATTGCCTGACTTAATGCTGGCACAACGATCCTCTTCATTGCGGATTTTCAGTATACGTTCCTGGACGCTATAGCGTGAGCCGTGTAACGCATTGACCTGATTCAAATTGCTGACCTGTTGCAAATGTTTTGCACGAAAACTGCCACCGGGTGAATTCAGCATTGTGCCACGGGATGAACTGACTGATGTCTCAGTGGAGTCACGGGGAGAGGCTTGATGTTGGTTGATGGGTGCGGCTTCACGATAACTGGACGGTCGATGTGTAGAGGGTGGGGTATCAAGGCCACTATCATGGGCGGAATAATCCAAGTCTGTGGTGATCAGTTTACTCGAGCTGTTGTTTGAATTATTGTGGGTAGGCAACATTGGTTGAACTGCAAAACAGTAATTGGAAATTTAATAACAAAACGTTTAAAATTGTTATCTTCGCATACCCTTACCTGAATGTCTCATATCTGTGGGTGCCCTTGGCTTGCGATACAACCAATCACGATCCAATTCGTTACCATTTTCCGTACTCAAATGGCGGAAAATGCGTGGACGTCTTAGCTCAACTTCACCGTCCTCAGCCTCCTCGTCGACAATATGGGTCGATCCGAAACTGCTGTTGATGAATATACGCCTGGGTGATCCGTACAAGCCATTACAATTCGAAAACGATGAATTCTGTGATGAGTAGCCATTCGAGTAGCGGCTGTTGTTACCACCACTGGCCGCAGCGGCTGCCGAATAGGGTATCTTTTGTGGTGTTGAGTGATTGGTGGACATACCACTTATATGATTATGATTTTCATTATTTAATGCACTTAAATCGGGTACTGAATCCGAAAACAGGAATGGATTATTACCACCATAACCACACACACTGTTCGTGACAAGCTTTTGGCCACGTCCGACGCCCATGCCACTACCATTGGTCATTAACCAATCATCTAGAGCGCTCGAATAGGTGCCACCTAAACCGAAATGATTTGATTGCAGAGATGCATGGGAAACGGGGGCTGCCAATGAAGCTCTTGATCTTGGACCTTGGGCGATTTTTAATGCACGACGACGTTCCTTGGAGGTTATGGTACATTCCTGGAAAAATACATAAAAAATATTAAAATCATTGAAAATAGTAGTGTTGGTGGTTTATTTGGGATAGCATTTGTATTTTGTTTTTGCAAAATAGTCAGAGAAAGGTATGTTATTGTTTGTAAATGCCTTGTTAACCTCGAAGTGAGACACCAACGAAATTCTCATGCAGTTTATTTCGTTGGTCAGCTAAGTACTTCGCTTTGTTACAAGAGACAATTGGATTTGAAAGGTTTTTTGTATAGAAGCAATAAATAGCTTCTGTGGAGAATATCCCAACAAAAAACAAAGGAACTGATGAGGATCAGTGGCGTGATCCGAAACTATAGTCTTCCCTACCTTACCCCTCGGCGAACAATGCCACACATTCCCACTAATAAATAGTTGTTGTTTTTTTTTTATAAAAACAACAAACTGGGATTCAGCCTGACTATTTTGCAAAAACATCATTAATAATATTTATAGAAGGTAAAGAGAACTAAAGTCAATGGGAATAATGAGGGGAACCCCACTGTGTATAAGTATTGTTCAAAAAATATGTTCTTAAGAATTTATCAACAAAGACATAGAAACCGTAAAGACTCGACAAAAGCCTTTTGAAAAAAATAGTTTATGGGTGGAATCAGACATAACAGAGGCATGTTAAGAATAAAAACGCCAATACGCGAGAATGTGTGTATGAAATGGAAATAAAATCAGAGATCTGCACTTAAAATATATGCTTTTATTTTATAAGCTTGCTATATAGCTCTTGAAACGTTTAATATTGTTCGCCCTGTTGTTATGATATCATAACAACAGAGGAATAGTCGTATCTTTATACTTTTATGTCTTTGTTATCAAGCTTGGATGTATTTAAAAATATTTTTTGAAGCTTAAATGAAGGCTTATGTATATTTTTCAAAATATTTTTTGAAGCATATATCAAGTAGTTTGAAGCATATATCAAGGCGTGGATTTAAAAAAAATACGTGGATTTTAAAAAATATTTTTTGAAGCAATGTGTGGAATTTTAAAAAAATATCCTTTTTTTCAAAGACTATCAAGGTGTAGATTTATTAAAAAATATATTTTTTTAAAGACTGTCAAGGCGTAGATTTCTTAAAAATATTTTTCAAAGACTATCAAGGTGTAGATTTATTAAAAAATATTTTTTACAGACTGTCAAGGCGTAGATTTTTTAAAAATGTTTTTTTAAAGACTATCAAGGCGTAGATTTTTTAAAAATATTTTTTTAAAGACTATCAAGGCGTAGATTTTTTAAAAATATTTTTTTCAAAGACCTGATATTTTTAAAAATATTTTTAAAGTACTATGCGTAACATTTTTAAAATTTTTTTTAAGTACTATGCGTAACATTTTTAAAAATATTGTTTTAAGTACTATAAAAGTGTAACATTTTTAAAACTAATTTTTGAATTTTAGTTTTTTTTTAGTTTTTAACAGTGATCCGAATAATCACAAGTTTCTAATGGGAAAATAATAGGTATGTTCTGTCCTCCTCCCTCTCTCCACCAATATTGACAATCGCATGCTTGCAATTTTATTTTTTCCGTAACTTCCCACGTTTAAATGTTATTATCTTTATTTCAATGGTTCTTGGCAAAACCATTCTCATTGCCCACCAACATGGACGGAGACCACAAATTTTCATTAAACCACCCCATCCGCTGTGACGACGACGATGTGCAATTTAATGACTTTTCATGGAGGGGCTTTATTGTAAGCCTTCAGTTTTTTTGAACAAGTTCATTGTCCCACAATCGAGAGCCATTGAAGCCAAGCAGAAGGCGTAGCCAAATAAAAGACTCTCGAAACATACGGAGAGGCCTGCAATAAGTACAACATGCACTTAGATTTCCATGCAAAAAATCCGTACGGTTGGGGGGACCTTAATACTAGGGTATCTCTTTGTACAACTTACCTCCAGTAGTTCGAACCAATCTTCGAGGCCTTCATCACATCGTAACAAAACTCTACCCTCACGTCCCAATAGTAAACCAATAGCACTGTAGGAGCGACGATTTAACCATTCCACTTTTTCAACATCCACCAATTTGACCTGTAACAAAAGAAGAAGAAAAAATACAAAATGAAAATTGGTTCCAGTGAAAATAAAAAAGTTTAGAAGATATTATAAAAAATCGAAAAAGTAAAAGAGTTTGTCCATCAACTTTGCTTAAAATGTCTGCTTGACTGAAATGGTGGCTGACTGGTTGGCTGAATAGACTAACATGCTGATTGCCTGGCTGGCTGCTAGACTGACTGGCTAAAATTGTTGGCGGCTAATCACATCAGACAATGCCATTGTTGATGTGTGCTCGAACAACTTTGCCTTTGTCCCGCCATGCTTCACAGCATGTGATGGTTTAAAGATTTCAGTTTAAAGGGCTTAACTATTGGCAATAAAAATTAATTTAACATTTCTTCTTTAGAACTGAAGTTTAAAGGATATTCTTTATATTAATATAAATTGTGGGGCTTATAGCAGTTTTAGAATATTTTTTTGGGGAATGAGATGAGTTAAAAACTGCGAACAAATATGTTTTATTTGGAAAATAAATTTTGATTTTAAAGCAATAAATATTGTGGATATAATTCACTTTGAATCTTTTTCCATATCCTGATTTATGTTGAAATTAAAAGGCAATTTCCCTAAATACTTTATAATTAATATAAATTATACGCACCCCATGCCTTTACGGCATATGGCTTACTGTTTTGTCAAATAAATTTATTTAAATGATCAAATTAATCGTGACAAATGTAAAGGGTTAAGACTGAGTTGCGAACCAAACAAATCACAACAAATATATAATTTTATATCCTGATTGATGCCTTAGTTAGGCGACAGTTTAAATGAATATTTTAAATTCGAACAACTTTTTCCATTTTCTATATTAGAAATCCGAAGAAATAATTTTCGCTTAAGAAAACAAAGGCCTTGAGTATAAAGTCAAAAATCTAATGAAAATATTTCCCTTAAACAGTTTTGTTGATTCATACCAGAGTTATAGGGATTTTTCTATAAGCACCCAGTAATTAATATAAGTCATACGCACCCAAGGCCTTCATTTAAAAAAAAATCATTATAATCGAAGGAAATTCCATCTTTCAAAAAATAAATTATATAAATTTAATTCAATGGAAGAACTATTAACTCATTTATCTTAGAATCCCATAATTTATATAATTTAAAGACACCATATGTCCCTCACTGAAAACCCCCTTTTCATAGAATCTTATCTTAAGCTTTTGTAAAATATGTCTCTCATTAGGAACACCATTATTTGCCCTCGAGAGACATTTTATAATTATTCACTTAACCTTGTGTGTGTGAGTGTGTGCCTGCTAAACTCATAATTAATTTCCTCATACCGAATGTACAGCGTCGGTATTTCTACCAATAACCCTTTAAGTGTTTAACGCCACCCCCTTGGAGATTTGTTACACTCCAAAGAGCATTGGCTCTGGCAAATTTTGCCTTTGATCATAATTATCGTCATTGGTTATCATCATTAACATAATTATCAGCTTGTTTATAACATCACACAAAATACATAGTTTGTGAAATGAAAGGATGCCAGGAATAATAATTTACCACCTCCACCACCACCACCTCCTTCATTATGTAACAAATAATTTAAATTGATTTCAGTGTCGCTGCCGCCTCACAACAGCAAAAACAAAAGGGGTGTTTAGGGACTTTTCATTTGGGAAAATTTCTAAATCAATGAAAGTTGATTGTGCCATTTTGATTTCATTGGAATTTTTATTATTTGTTTCATCGTCATCATCATCCTCCTCCGCTTCGGTGAGAGGTAGAGGATCTTTACCCTACCATAATTACAATGTTTAGTCTGAACCGCCATGGGAGCTTTTTAATTAGTTTGGTTGTTCAAATGATTGGTTCGGTTGATTTGGCTAACATAATTGATAATTGAAAAGATATTAGCACAAATGATTAGAGGGCGAAATAATAGAGAATGAAGAGATAGAGACGGATTACTGGAAACGTGGGAATAATTTTGAAATTTAATTTTAAAGATTACAATTTCAATAATATATAATTTAATAATATTTGAAAGGAGATTATCGCACCAAAATTATGGCGAGAAGCTGGCTGATTGCTGGAAATGTTCGAATAACATACTAATGTTTAATTTATATAATTTACGTTTAGAAATTAAATTAAAAATATGAATTTTAAATAATAATAATTTATGGACCACGAAGCGTATAAGAGATGATGTTACTTATACGTAAAAAAATGAGCTCATTTTAATGAAACACAATATTTATCCAAAGTTTGGAAATTTCTTGATTTGTTTCCTTTTGACCTTACAATTATAATTCCTAAAGGAATTTAATTTTTTATCGAAAATGTCCTTGATTCTCTTTGTCATCAATCAGTATACAGTAAGTGGAATATTTGCCAAATTATAACCCTCCATTTTCTCTCAAAAATCGGCAACTTTCTTCCAATAAAATGACTTTATAATAATTTTTAAATAAAATCCCTGGGTACGTATGATTGATAATAATTATTGGATTGTTATAGAAAGTCCCCTGTAGCTATTCCATTATTCAAAATATAAAAACGCAGTAAAAGGTAAATATGTTCACAAGAGTTGTGGTTAGAAACTCAAATACTTTGTTTTTAGAAAATAAATGATTTTGCGATCGTTTTTATATAAGATATGGCGTTACATATACGTACATTTATGACATTACTTTTGTTATTGCAAAATAGTCAGGCGTAATTCCAGTTTACTTTTTTTATGAAACGATTTGTTTGTTTTCTGAATCACTCACTTTCTTGTTTTGAATATATTGGTTAAATATTTACTTCAGTTTAACATTTGCTTAAGACTTTAAGAATTGAAAAAAATAGAAACAATATCATATCAATATTGAGAAGACATTGAACGACATATATTGACTCTACTCAAAGAATTGAAATTTGTTGAAGTCGGTTCCTCTTGACCTTACAAATATAATTACTAAAGAAATTGTTCTTGCTTATCTTTGAAATCAATGGGTATACAGTAAATGGACATTTTGTCAGAATTATATCTCTCCATTTTCCCTAAAAAATTACAATTTTCATTCAACAAAATTACTTTATTTAGATTAGATTAGACTGATTAAGTTTTCAGTTTGCGTGGACTTTTGTATAAATATTTCTTAAAATTTCTAGTTATTAAGAAATATATATTTAAACGATCAGAGAGAAACAAGACATCAATTTGTATACAATTTGTATACGTTTAACAGCGATTTGTAAATTTACGGCCATGGTTGCGTATGATTTATATAAACTCCTTGGCAGTTATAGAAATTCATCTGCAACTCTGAAATGAAGCACAATTTCGGAATACATTAAAAGGGTAATATGTTCACGAGATAAACGGCTTCAAATTCAATTACTTTATTTTTAAATATATATTAATTTGTATATGAAGGTGACGAAATTATCTGATTGTTGCGACATCATTTTTTCAAGGCGTTGTTTTAATTAAATCCTCGCTGCGTATAGATTATATTTATTATTTGGTACTGTTATAAAATAGAATATAGATACCATTTATAATGAAATATAATACAATATTTATAGGTAGAAAGTTTGAGCCTATCTAACAGTAGTGTTTTTGCTTAAATTTTAAAATATGTCTACAATTTTAGTAAAAAAAATATGTTCAAATTTCAATATGCTGATTTTTAAAATGCAGTAAAAAGTGTATTCCCGTTGATCGTACTATGCTCATTTTTGTATGGATGGTGTATATTCACACATTCGTTATTCAGGCAAATTAAAAAAAAAACGGTATCTTAAGATAAACGTATATTACATGTTCAGAAATTTTGAGGTATGTTTACTATTTTTGCTATAATTCCGCATCCAAGCGGAATTTTTAAAGTTTATAGAGCCTATGTTACTTTCAGGACATGTCTCGATACAAAGTGTAAATCTCATTAAGATCTGTTCAGCGGTTATGGCGTCTACCGGCCCTTCGCTGCCCCTGATAAAGTTATCAAGCATATACCAATGATCAATTAATAAGCAACCTACATGCAGCTGCAATATATACTAATTTTAATTTTAAAATTAGGAAAACTCTGAACTTTTATATGCTCGCATTAACACTACATATTGGCAATTTTTGTTTTTTTGAAACACACCGTTAATAATTTTTATCAATTTTACACAATTGTTATGTACATGAAAACAGATAATGACACGTAATAACCAAAATTACTATTTTGCACATCTTATTATCGATCACATCCATCTGTTACTTCCCCACAAAATGGTATTTATTATAATCCATATATTTTCGTAATCCAAGTAACATTTTTTTAATATAAATATTGTTTCACAAACTGACAAAATAGAAAATTATAATGTCAATAATTTTTTTTCAATTTTATTTTATTTTTATTTCCATATTTCAAATTATATCGTTTTTGTTCCAAAATTTATTCTCATCGGATGAAGCGTATTTACTTCCATGTTATTCAACTAAATGTAGCCGCTACATGTAACCAACCTCTCTTAGAAAATTAACATACATACATAAATACTTTCTTTCAGATATACATACATACATATGTATGTACATATGAATACTTTTGATGCTATAACTCCGCATCCAGGCGGATTTTAAAAACTTAACTAACCTATGTTACTTCCATGGGATCGCTTGATGCCCTGTGAACATTTTAGTAAAATCTGTTCAATGGTTCTTGATTCCTCAAACAATATGTTTTCTATTTTCTACGTATAGATTTAAATGCAATGAGGTGGGCATTTTCCCTTGATCGCGCCACCCTTAGGTGGTGTCGATGATGTGTATTTACTCCTACATTACACAGACATATTTCGAAGTCGGTATCTGTAACCGTTCTTAAAATATACAGAAATTACATGTTCATAATTTTTGAGGTATGATTACATTTGATGTTATAACTTCGGATCCACGCGGAATCTTAGAAGTTTATATAACCTATGTTTTTCCCAGGACTTGCCATGACGTTCTGTTCAGCGATTTTTAAGTCTAC